CGGAATAGCGGCGCTATGCGAGGGACCGCGCCAAACGACCCCCTCCCGTAGAAGTTGCACCATTCTCATCGGGACCCATACCTTGCCCGCAGGCAGCTGTCTGCAATGGCGGGCGTGTTCGAAGAGCTCGTCCAAACACCTTTGCCACGCAACTGCAACTTCCTCGTCCTTAATTTTCTGTTTTTTGGAGATTTATATGAGTGTGGTGCAGTAGGAACGAAACTGTCGGTCGCGGCGAGAGAGACGTCGCGCGCGCGAAGGAATGTAGCAGAATGCAGCTGCAAGTAAGAAGTACAGGAAAGGAAATAACAGTGGAATCATGCCAAAAGTAATAAACGCATAGCGATTGAGCTGTATGAAAAATGCTAGAACTGTTATAATGGGGCGAATGGTCCGCAACAGCCGCGTGCGGGGGATCGATTACCGAAAACAGTTCCTACTGCCCGCTCCCGTGCCCCTATGACAGGCGCATGGGACCGTGGCATCCAATGATGGGTGCCACCATGTTTTTTCTTTTATTTGCACATCTAAAGCTTATGTAATATTTCCATATTTATTTCCAAACTTCATGGTATTTATATTCAACATGGTCCACGTAAATGACTTATAGGAGCTTATTTATAACAAACATATATAGTCATTGGAGTAGTACTGGAAAGGTTTGGATACCTTGGCAAGATTTGTGTGTGTCCTGTGGAAGCAATGAAGGCAGTACTTAGAATATCTGACTCGCGATTATGTGACCGCGCGGTCGCCCTCTTCATCCTTAAGTTCTTTCGATGTTGTACGAATTCCTACCGCTTACACTATCACCAAAACTCTAACCTACATTGCTTCCAAACCCGAAGTGCAATTCAAAGCTTCAGTTTTACATAAGATCAAACAAGGTCTGATGCTTCTGTTATGCGGAAATATTGCTAAGTTTATTAAGCCAGAGAAAGGAGTTTCTCCGGGTACCATGGCACCCACCGGTGGGGGTATGTGTACGAACGTGCGTCCGAGGATGCGCGCGGCAAA